ACCACACAACGACACAGAACATTGAACACTGAACACCCACACACACACACAAACATGCATCATCTCTTAATGGCACAGAATAAACATTAGAATGATTGTTTTTATTATGATGAAAGATAAACACCTAGACGAAGGAAATAACAGTGATTCATTTGAATAAACATTTGACCAGCGAGATGGAGTATGAGATTAAGAATTTCGATGGACAAATGGACGAATCATTTAGTTTGTATTGCTGAGTGACAAGTCAATTCTATTAAGCTGGAAATGAGAGTTCACATTTAGACTCGATTAAATGACTTCTGAACTGATCGAAAGGTGACGTGAGATTGGTGTGATTGACGAATTCACCGGAGTGATATTTGGAATATGTACAACAGTTGGCTGATTGGTTTTGTGATGGGTAATGCAGCTTCTTTGAGAATCATGTTGCTTCAGAAATGTTGAACTATTGTGTATTCGGTTGATCGGGGCGCAAAAGTGGATCGAGTGAATGAATTCGAACTGCACCCAAAACACGATGTAACAAGTATGACTAAGTACATTTCAGAGAGGAAGTTAAACTGTTTGTTATTTAGAATGAATGGAGATCCGTTGTGTTGACATACACTCGAATGGCATGCCAAATCAAATCTACTTCAGCTGTTGAAATCTCAATCACAATGTGATCTTCAATGTGGTCTATCAACAAATGCCACATTAATTTCGACACCAAAGAATGAAGTCATCACACATTGAATGTTTGATTGAATCAAGTGATCATCTATTGGGTTGATTAGAACCTATACAGTTGATTCATCACACATTGTCCTTATTATTTTCCAACACATACAATTGAATTACATAAGATCACTCAGTTACTGAATGAAAGTGTCTCTGTTTTCAGGCACATTTACCTCCAATTTATACTGTGGTGATTGGTGTTAGTTTGATGTGTTTTTTGCGAATGGCATGATATTCACGTTTAGTCTAACTAATCGTTATCAGGTAAAACACAACAATAGCCATTTCGTTTTATTCTAATAGGGAGTGTTCAACCTGTCTGTCGAGATTTGTGTTCTGGCTATGCTACTTTCTATTCAATCAATGAATGTACGATCTGAGAATATGAAATGACATGAAGTGTACACTGCAATGAATATTCGTCAATGATTTCGAACCTGTGATTTCGAGTAAACATATGTAAACATAACTTCTATCACTATTATTATCATCGATGCTACTAGCACTTCTCCTCCTCTTTCTACTACGACCACTACTGCACTGGATGAACACTCAGGTGGAGCAATCGACTCAGCGTTTCATACAATCTTACAGAATGTCTTGGTAAAATATGAGCATCACACATCAAATAGTTCATTTACGTCCGTCGACACAAGTAGAATGCAATACACAATTACTACTAGTAGTACAACTACCATGGGAATGAGTAACAATCAGAGTTCACTTCATCTATTCCCCTTTTGACGACAGTAATGTTTGACGAAATCAAATGTACAAGGTATCTTTGCAAACGATAGTTTAACATTTAACCTTTCATATCAACACAATTGCTCAGATCATATGGATGATTCACTAATTTGTCCATTCAACACATGGATCATATATGATATTCTATGTGAAGTTAACTCTTTCACAATCACTTCCATCGTGGATTGAACACATTCGATAATCTGATTTTCTTTTTGTTAATAATCCAGGTAATAACAATAACAGAAATTCTACTTGTTCAGTGTCAATATGTGAGTGTGAGGAGTGTGTGTGTGTGTGGGTAGGTGGTTGGGTGGTTGGGTGGATGGTTGAGTGTGTGTGTGTGTGGGTAGGTGGTTGGGTGGTTGGGTGGATGGTTGAGTGTGTGTGTGTGTATGTACATGTATACATAGAACATAGAAACAACTTCTTTGTAACAATAGAGAATGTTATTGCTGTTTATTTGATTACTGATTAATAGAACTGTAAACCACTTGACAGAGAATGGTGTAAAAGAGACAAGAAATAGGATACTTGAGTCCTACTAAACAAGTAATATTCATCATTGTAGAGATGAGAGGAAGGGGAGTGATAGATAATGGAGACCGATTAACACTGTTACTGATTCATTTCTATTATGTTAATGATAATCACAATCACAATAACAATAATGATAATAACAGTAATGATAATAATTCAGTTAGCAACCAAATTGGATGATATTTATCTCATTACCTGTTTCATAATCGTTTATTCATTTAAACAGTTAGCTGAGTAATAACAATATCGAAGTGATCAGTTGAATGTTCCAGTCCATTGTGTCACATATGCAAACTTATTGGCTCTCATACAGACAATGGAATATTGTACCGGATAAATTTGATTGAACTCGCTGATTCATAAGCTGAATACACTCAGACACACTCACACACACATACACACACACACACACTCATAAACATGACATTTCACAAGTAAAATAGGGAGATAAAATCGAATCTGTAAATATAACATTATGAGACATTTGTTGTGTGTTCCGATGGATTCATCAACGAGATTGACTTGACTTGATTTCTCTATTTCTCTTCTCTCTAAACATGTTCAACACCGGTAAATGTGTTTACATTCAACCAGCTTCATCAAAGAGAATAGCGACACTTGGATTCGTTGAGAAACTGGGTGACATGAAATGAATGGACAACGACATAAATGACAATCATTCAATCACTTTTCACTTCCATGTGATCTCGAATGTCTCAAAGCGTTACCCATAGTCACCTTGTGAGTTAACAACACTTGACACTAGTTGAATGATCTGGTCTCGAAATCAACATCCTGTTATACTGATGTACACTACTAAACTTCTTGTCTCAGTATAAATAACAGTTTAAAAGACTCATTTCGATATGGATCAGTTAAGTAAATATGTGGATTACAGAAATCAGGGAAACACTCAAATCCAACTATTTACTGAAATGAAAGTTGAATGAGACAGTTGTGTAGTGGAACTACTTCGAAAAGTCTTCCTCACAAGAATACGACATCAGTTGATGTTCTTATTCATCTCAAAGAGAACTTTACACGATCTATATATATAAATATAGAATTAATCATTTGAACCATGTTCATTGAGTTGATATCCACTTGACACGTTCACACCTCTATGAAATCTAACCATCATGAATGTTCCATCGAAATGAAATCAAAACCTCCTTGTTTACATGGACATTTCAAAAGATTCATCACAATAAGCATCTCTCTATTGACTTCAACTAGTACAATCAAGATGAAATAGAGTTTTATTATCTTCCATATTTTATCATTCAATTACTTATTATATTTCACCATTAGTCAATTATTTTCACTCATTACATAGAACATTTTAATTAATTGACAGAATGTGAATGATTGTTTTACACGCAAACCTACCTATCAATGTGATATGATGATGATGGGATTGTTGGCAGGAGTGAAACAATGTGACACACACACAGATTAGAGAAGTGTATTGGTGTGCCACAATCAAACAGACAACCAAACAAAAGCACACACACACATCGACATACTTGCATAGATGTACAAAAGAACAAATCACTAACATCATTTCAATATCATTCATTAAAACAAATACAAATACACCATTACCCCTCTTCAACTCCTTCCCTCTCTCTCTCTCTCTCTCGAACACACACGCACAAGCACACACAAACATCATACACCTTGTACAGTGATCTTCACACGACAAGACAGATTATAAAGTCAATAATGTTTAATGATGTTTTATTCATGATCATGTTTGAGTCTTAGATGGCGTAGTTGATTAAACAGAAACACAACGTAATGGAAATTCACAGTCACAAATACAATCTAGAAAGAGAAATCAGATGTATACACGATTGACCATTTTCATTTGTAACAGAGACGTAGGGAGTAACAGCGACAAGTCAAGTGAAGAATATCCGTACAGTATTTGAATGATAGGCAACAGGACAGAAACTGATTGTTCATTTGTTCAATATTTTAATATGGAGATATGAGATGTACTTGTAATTATAACCACTAGGTCCTGGGTTCGAATCTCGCAGAGGACGAGGTTGTAGATGTGCACTGTTGAGGTGTCCTACAATAGGATTAAACGGTCGTCCAGTACTTCCAGGTTTCCCAAGGTGATCTGACTTCAACTGACTCATAATCTTAACCACTGTAATTGTCATATTATTCTATTTAGGTGACGATAATAATAATAACAACAATAATAACAGTCGAGAACATGTCTCGTCGATACTCAGCGTTAAACATTGAATTTGAAGTGGGACACAGTTTATACAAACATCACTTGTCATTTCTATCTATATGGAGTTTACAGTTTTGGTGATTTATGTAAGTCACTAAATACATGAATAAATACTTATCTGTATGGATTAGTTTCCTTTAAAGCTGGGCTGAAGATTTGTTGGATGAAATAGCGAAAGAAGAGTACTCCATCCCTCCTCCTCCTCCTCGTCATCTCTCTCTCCCTCACACACACACACACACTCAGGTTATCATCATGTTATCTTGTTGTCTTAGTGATTAGATCTACAAGTGGACCAGTTTTAGTTGGACGATGAAATGCGGGTTTTTTCTGACTTTTATTTCTCCTGTCAGAAAGATACTGAATGACCGATATTGTATATGAGTGTAGTTCAAGTGTGTTCTTTCTCACTCTACTTGACATTCTTCCTTTCCACCTTACTATTGTGTATTATTATTATTATTAATTTGTTTCTTGATCACTTTCTCTTCTCATCTTTCTCTCGTACATACAGACATTGTATTTCTCACATACCCAGATCAATACACACATACACACCTACACAACTGGTCGATTGAGCAATATACGACACTCATTGAAGACTACTTTTTGAATGGAAATATATAAGTTAGTGTCCTTACTGTAGTAAACAAGGTGAAGTGGCATACAAACATTAGGAACAACAACAATATTAATAATAATGATAATAATAACGGTATTGGTATTTCAGTAGAGCATGGTAATACTTGATGATGATGATGCTTCGAACGATGATGATGATTGGGATGATGATGATGATGATGATGATGATGATGATGATGATGATGATTTGGATGATGATGATGATGATGATGATGATGATTTGGATGATGATGATGATGATGATGATGATGATGATGATGATGATGATGATGATGATGATGATGATGATGATGATTTGGATGATGATGATGATGATGATGATGATGATGATGATGATGATGATGATGATGATGATGATGATGATGATGATGATGATGATTTGGATGATGATGATGATGATGATGATGATGATGATGATGATGATAATGCTTTGGATGATGATGGTGATGATGATGATGATTTGGATAATGATGATGATGCTTTGGATGAAGATGGTGATGATGGTAATAATCGTATTATGGTTTTTGTTATTGTACTAATGGTTTTCGTTTGATTCAGTTGTATTAAATACATACGAATACTATTCGAAATCAGTATTACTGAAATAGAATTCATCCAATTTTAATATTCCAACATCTTTAAGTACTTATTCTGTAATTATGATAGATAGAAAGAAATTTCTACTATCCAATATCTAGATATCTCATCTATTTCTAGTTTAGATTTAGAATATCTTACTTCGTTGTTTGAACTTCGCCTGGAGTATCTTTCGGGGGGCTACTGTCGGTCCCAAGCCCGAATAAAGGAGGAGGGTTGGGCATGGGATTAGCGATCTCATCCCGTAGAAAACTAACTCGCTAAAAAAAACGCTAACCAGAACAAAAAAAAATCGGTCAATGCTCCATTGGGAGTAACAGGCGTAAGTAATCAAGTAATCACTTCATTGTTTAAGTAACAAATATCTATTATGATAACCATTATGAGATTGTGGTTATGTCATTGTACAGTAAGTCTATCTTCTTCATTTATTCTTTCATAGTAGATAAATCTTAAAAAAATATGAAGGGTTCTTTTAGTTATAAACATTGATACTGATCTTATCAGTCTTACTATACACTCCCCTTACGCTGTAAATATGACCTGATTTTGTGAAGTTTGAGCACTACAGTTTTTTCAATCTATTACAATAACTAATCAGTTTAGAATGTATACACTTTAACACATTGATATTTATTCAAATGGATATTCATCTTTATCCATCTTCAAATCTCTTCAAACTGGCTTCGAGATTATTTAGTGAGAAGAGATTTTGAGAGAGTCAGCAAACACTATATTTCCATGATATTTTCAGTTGCGTATATACCCCTTGTTTATCAAAGCATTTGACAATGGAATGGAGCACATTTGCTGGAACTACACAGAGTCGTCTGATAGAATAGTAAATGTGAAAGTTGAAAATTCACGTTATACTGGACTTCATGTTGTCACTCTTGTATGATCAACTTACTTATTATTAGAAATAATGTCCTCGACAGCTCATAGTGTGAAACATCAAAGGTTACCTATTGTGATTTTGACAAAGAGATGACTGTTATTCAGGGGGGGGGATTATGAAGAGCCCGACCTAGTGTCAGAGGATACATGGTAGAGCAGTGCACCGAGAACTGGAAAACATTTGGGACCGTATGTGCTCAGCCCCAAATCCATGGAAATTTCGTCGAATGAAAAAGATAGAATGAGAATAACAGCAAAGTGTTCACTACACTAGTTACTACCCCTGCCCTGAACTTAGCCATTAGATGTGACTTGGTTGCTATTCATTATGTTTTATTTCTGGGTCCTGCCTGTTACCTTGGAAATGTTGAAGCCTGTCACTACAGATGTCGCTGCTACACTTGCTTTCTTTACCTGAATTTATTGCTAGGTATGGAGCAGAAGGGCCAGGTCTTCCGAGAAGTCCGCTTTATGCATCTACGTTCTATGTGCTCACTGAATCACATGTTCCCACTGAGGTGTGTAGGTCCTCATAATCTAGTCCATAACCTGAAGAGAGTAAAAAGGTGAGAGTAGACATCCTAAAGTGATAACTTCCCTCACTTGAAATCTATTTATGAGTTGCTCTCCATGCTCTGTCGAATACTTTTTCCTAGGAAAGTGAATTGGTGTATAATAATGAGTTATATTCCACTGACTATTTGACAATGATTTGTAGTGTCGCATTTTGGTCAGTAGGTTTTCTGTCCTAATAAAGGTAAACTTACTGACCTATAAGTTATGGGTCTACTGAACTTTTATCTGATTCAGCAACACGTCAAGGAAAACTTTGTCTATTACGGACACGGTTTCAGTGAAATTTGTCAAGATTATTAAAAGAACAATATATTTGGGTTGATTATTCTCTATTTACCAGTAAACTTTAGTATGCGAATTATAACTTGTAATCTTTTTTATTTAGGTCGTAAATTATGAGTGCAACAACTGAACGTGCTTCAATTACGAAGCAGAGAAAAATTTGTATGTAACATCTACTCCCAAATCTTCCTAAAGAAAACATAGAATACTCTTCATGTTCTCACTGTATATGACTTGAATTCTTCAGCTAGTATGCTTTCTAGTCCTCCAGCTTATTAATCTTTCTTCTATTGTTGATGTTGTAACATACATAAGAAGGTCTGAAGGTGCTACTTCGATATCCGGTGGGTTGAGTGTAGTTAAACTTGTAGTGACCTACTTTTGTCAACAGAACGCGATTGGTTCGATGAAAACAATTATTATTATAACCAATTGTACTAGTGACTGTTTAACTGTGCTCATAACAGCCATTTTAGTCTTCCATTGTATTCCGTTGCTTTTACGCGGTTTTTGGACTACGCACGTATCTTATCTTGCCGATCGCAACTGTACTCCTTTGGCACGATCTCGGTATTCTTTCGATACCACGAGATTGCCAACAAATATATACGACTACTACAATCATCTGCCTTCTGATATTTTGGCCTATCGGAATTTTATTGGTCTATTGGCAAGTAGTCTTGTAGCGGTGTTCTTAGTCAAGCTCAACTCGACACCACGCTACATTTGGTGAGCCAAATTTTGGAACACGCCTCAACTTCGGTCAAATCTTCTGCAACTGGTGAACCTACATCTACGAACACTTGGCAATCGCAACCAAACCTTCCAAAGAAGTCAATTTTGGTGAGTCTATCGCTTATCTATCCACGTCTGTCATATATTTTCATATTAATTTTTAATATGTAATATATTTGACATGACGGATAACGATAAGAATAGTATTAACGTAATAGACTCTGACGTACAGGTTATACACTTTCGACCTGTATCTTTTATTCCCCACGATCCCGAAGTTTGGTTTGCTGCTATAGAGTCTCAATTCGAGACCCGTCATATTACAAGCCAACGGCAGAAGTACACTTACGCCCTCGAATGTTTACCGGGAGACCATTTAGTAGCTGTCCGTGAGGTTGTCCTCAATTCCAATGTGCCCAATGTTTACGATCGTCTCAAGGAGGCGGTCCTCAGACATTTCCTTCCATCGAGGGAGGAACGATTGAGGACGTTATTAGCACGTCACCCCCTGGGTGATGCTAAACCGAGCCACCACCTCACGCGCCTGCAATCTCTTGCAGGACCCACTGCAGCCGATTCTGAAATCGTTAAAGAACTGTGGCTCGAATCTCTACCAGCATTTATCCAACCTACAGTTACGGCCCTGCTCGAGGACGCACCACTGAAACAGGTAGCCCTCACAGCAGACAAAATTCTAGCTAGGACTAGCAACCGAGACAACTACGTAGTTGCTTCAACGTCGCGTCCGAAAGTCGATATCGACGGCAGCCACTCCTCGGCTCAAGGTGACAGGGGAGGGTGTATTCACACACGTCTTAGTTTTCGAGAACGTTATAACGTACCCCGACTCTACGTCCCTCGAGCCCGCTCACGTTCTCGAAAAGCCGTCAACACTCGCCCAACGAGGGCATCTTCCAAGCCACGCCAAAAGGCGGCTTCGGAAGCGAGTAGGGGTTGGTGCTGGTTTCATCGATCCTTCGGATCTGGTGCCCGCCGTTGTCGAGCCCCGTGCTCATACAAGGCGGGAAACTCCAAAGCCGGCGAGTAAAAGCGGCCGTACTCGCCAGCCCTGCCCCCCAGATTGGCCGGTTATTTTACGTGCACGATCATCGCACAAACGCTAGGTACCTAGTGGATACAGGTGCCCAAGATTCTGTCGTACCACGTGGTAGCATCAAGTCACAAGCTACAATGCTTCGACTACGCGCTGCAAATGGCTCAGCCATTCCTACCTACGGTACACGACAACTCGTGGTCAACCTGGGCAACCGACGACGGTATCTGTGGACGTTCATTATTGCTGATGTTCCCACAGCCATACTAGGTATTGATTTCCTACAGCACTATGAATTGCTAGTCGATTCACGTAGTCTGCAGCTAATCGATACTTCGTCGAACAGTAAATTCATGGGCTTTAAAGCTCACACAAACGCGTACCGAATCCTCGGCACTTTTTATCCGCGTGACGATAAATTCCACGCTTTATTCGAGAAATTCCCCAGAATAACCAAACTACTCGAGGAGATTTCATCGGTGACCAATCGTGTGGTACACCACATAGTCACCCACGGACCACCAGTCACGGCAAGACCACGCCGACTGGCACCGGACAAATTAGCTTTCGCTAAACGTGAGTTTGACAATTTACTATCTACTGGTATTATTCGTCCTTCTCACAGTCCATGGGCCTCTCCTCTTCATATGGTGCTCAAAAAGGATGAGGTTAGTTGTAGACCATGCGGCGACTACCGAGCATTAAATGTAATCACGCGCTTTGATAGCTACCCCATTCCCCACATACACGACATTACGGCATCGCTCAATGGCACGACTATCTTTTATAAAGTCGATCTGGTACGAGCATATTACTAGATCCCAGTCGCTCTTGAAGATATCGAGAAAACGGCTATCACGACTCCGTTCGGTCTGTTTGAGTTCTTACGAATGCCATTTGGATTACGGAATGCTGCTCAAACTTTCCAAAGGTTTATCGATAGCATAGTACGAGACTTGGATTTTGTTCACGTCTATATTGATGACCTGATGATCGCATCATCAAACGTAGATGAACATTATCAACACCTTACGCTATTATTCCAACGTCTTTCGGATAATGAAATAGTAGTCAACCCAGAGAAATATGAATTGGGTAAATCAGAAATAATATTTCTGGGTTACATCATCAGACAAGAGGGTATTCTGCCTTGCGAGGACAAAGTTCGAGCAATAAAGGAGTACAACGTGCCGTCCTAAATCAAGGAACTGAAGGCTTTTCTCGATTTGGTTAACTTCTACAGACGTTTTATCCCTCACGCGGCAGAACGGTTACGACCATTAACCGATTTACTACGCGGTAATCCAAGCAAATTAGAATTGAACGATACCGCACGTACTGCATTTTCAGAGATCGAAACGGCTATCGCTGAAGTTACACTTCTCTCTCATCCTGACCCATCAGCCACGCTT